CCTCCTCCTCCTCCCCTCCCTCCTCCTCCTCCTCCCTCCTCCTCCTCCTCCTCCTACTCCTCCCTCCTCCTCCTCCTCCTCCTCCCTCCCCTCCTCCTCCTTCCTCCTCTCCTCCTCCTCTCCGCCCCTGAACCTCCTCCTGCTCCTGCTCCGGCGCCTGCTCCTGCCTCCTCCTCCTCCTCCTCCTCCTCCTTCCTCCTCCTCCTCCTCCTCCTACCTCCTCCCTCCTCCTCCCTCCGCCTCCTCTTCCTCCTCCTGCTCCTCCTCCTCCTCCTCCTCCTCCTACTCCTCCTCCTCCTCCTCCTCCTGCCTCCTCCTCCTCCTGCTCCTCCTCCTCCTCCTCCTCCTCCTTCTCCTCCTCCTCCTCCTCACCTCGTTACAGTCGCTCCCCAGGGACACGAAGGCGCCCGGGGAAGGCCCGAAACTAGCACTCCTCATCGACAGAATCGCCGCGCCCGAGGACACCCGCCACTGCTTCCACGGCGCCAGGAAGCGCAGGTCGTAGACCAGCAGCCCACCGCTGAGGGTGCCCACGCAGATCGAGTGGCCATCGCTGCCCAGCGCCAGGCAGCTTGGGATTCCAAGCCACGGCGGCACGGAGGACACAGACCAGCTCCTAGACTGGCTCCGGATGTCCCAGCCCTGCACAGCGCCGTGGGCCTGGGCGAACACCACCAGCGATTCCAGCTCGTTGTCGAACTGCTCCATACACATCACCGCGCAGGAGCCCGGCCTGCCCCCGGGCTCGAAGCGGCAGACCTGGGTGGCGCTGGGCCCAGCGCGGCTGGGCTCTATCTTGTAGAGGAGCGCGTCCCCCGACTCAGAGCCCACAGCGACGGCCTTCGCATCTCGCACCGTCCGGAGAGCTCTGAGCCGCTGCTTGCGCCCAGCACTCCCGCAGGGGATCGTGAACGTGTGGGACGAGGACACGGCCACGTCGCGCTCCAGCTGCGCGCAGTTCCACAGCTTCACCACGCCGTCCTTGCCCCCGGTGACTAGGATGCGGCTGTCGTCGGTGGTGTCCACCTTCACGACTGGCACCCCGCTCTGATGGGCGTACTCATACAGCGTGGCCAGCAGGACGCTGGGCCTCCGCGGCGCGCGCTGCACGCTGGCGCGGCGGCCGTCGCCGGGGCAGCCGTCGAAGCCGATCAGCGGCAGGGCCTCGGCGCCCAGCGCCCCGCTCGCGCTCAGCGGCGCGCCCTGCGCCAATGCGGCCGGTTCGGCGTCGGCGTCGGGCTCCGCGGGCGCCTCCCACAGCTCCTGCTGGCCAGGGGAGGGCTGCGTCCCCGCGGCGAGGCCGCCCGAGGACGCCGCCCGCGACGGCAGGTCGCCGGCACCCGCGTCGGCGCCAGCGGAGTAGATCGAGTATGGAGCGCCGTTGAGGTTCGTCAGGGAGCCGAGCTCCCTGCGCCGCAGCGGCAGCTGCAGGGCCCGCGCCAGGAAGGCGTGCATGGAGAAGAGGCTCAGAGGGTGGCGCGGGCCTCTCCCGGGGAAGAGCGCGGGCGCGCACGCGGCCGCGCCGGCGATCTCTGCCTCGGCGAGCCCGTGGAGGGGGCGGCTGGGGGCGCAGCCGGGGTTCACCGTGGCGTAGCGGACGCTCTGCACGGCGGCCAGCGGCACGGAGAAGGCGAAGCAGTCCTCCTTCGCAGCCAGGCCCTGCCCGAGCCCAGTCGCGCCAGGGCGCGAGCGGAGGAGCAGGTGCACGTACGGCCGCAGCAGCTCGAGCGCGCCCCACTCCTCCTCGTCGTACCCCTGCGGCAGGCCCACGCTGGGCAGGGGCTTCTTGTGCAGCAGGGCGTCGTGCAGCCCCTCGCCGGCGCCCCTTCGCAGGATCGCCTGCTTGTAGAGGCGCCGGCCCAGCGGCCGCGCCAACACGCCGGGCGCAGCCCGCAGGCTGGGCACCTCGACGCGCAGCAGCGGCCTCACCGCGGGCATCACGAAGACGTACTGGTCCACGGCGCTCAGCCGCGACCCCAGCGCCTCGAAGACCGCCGCGGCCCGGGCGCGGACGTGCACGGCGGGGTGCACGAGCAGGGGCGCGACCTTGGTCGCCACCGTCACGAGGCTCGGCCTCCGCAGCACCTCCTGCTGGACCAGGGCGGCGAGGCCCGCGAGGGCCGCGGCGAGCACGCGCTCCTCCTGGTCCTGCAGCGCCTGCTCGTAGCACGGCCAGATGATGCCCTCCGCGGACACCTGGCCCACCCTCCGCGGCAGGAACGCCGCCTCCTCGCAGAAGGCGGCCCGCACCTCCAGGGCCGGGTCGTTCATGAAGGCGATGGCGTGCTGCAGGAGGAAGTTGTGGGTGCCGTCTCGGCCGAAGCAGTCGGCGAGCACGCACATGTTCCGCAGCAGGGCCACCTTCACCTCCCGAGACGTCGCGAGGCTCAGCATCGGGTCCTCGTGAGCCGCCCCCACGCCGTCGACGATGTGGCCGCCGCCCGACTGCTCCAGCAGGGCCTTGACGATCTTCTTGGCCTCCTCGCGCAGGTGCTTGCACTGCACGTCGAACGTCTCGACCTCCACCGGCGGCCGCGCCCCCGCGACCGCCTCCTCGGCGGCAGCCCCGGGAGGCCGCCCGGCCGAGGCCTCCGCGGCGGCGGGCCCTCCGTCCGGCCGGCCCGGCGCGGCGCCGCGCTGCGCGGCGGCCACCGAGGACTCGGCGAGGCGGATCGCGTGCCGCACCAGCGCCCCGATGTTCTGCGCCACCGCCAGCAGCACCACGGGCTCGCCGCCGCTCATCCCGCTCATGGGCAGAAGAGCAAAACACGGCACGATCGTGAGCTCGTCGGAGGCCCGCACGAGCTTCTCGAATCGGCGCCGGGACCCCCTTCCCTGGCGCGCGGAGCGCGCCAGGGGGCGGCACAGGAGGCGCCGCCAGGTGGCCCAGCGCCGATCCGAGAAGTCCCCGAGGGCCTTCGAAAGTCCATGCTTGTGCCGTGTTTTGTTGTTCTCATGGAGGCCACTAGCTGCGGGAAGATGTACTCCATGAACAGCGGGGAGTCCCGGGGGGGGAGCTCCTCGACGCGGTCCAGGGAACGCGTCAGCGCCTCGATGGCACTGGCGCGCACCTTTTAACCAGCCTCGACCGTCTCCCTATCCCGGAAAGGTTATCATGCCCGCAGGCGATGACAATCTTAGCGATGAGCGCAGAGAAACCGAGAGAGTCCGCAGGATGGGCATCGAGAGAAGGTGATGCCAACTATCGAGATAGGGACATGCTTCAGGCTGGCAAACCTTGGCGAAGGGGTCGCTCATGAGGGCGTGGCAGTACGGCACGATCTGCTCCAGCACCACGGCCTGGGAAGCGAACGGCGCCAGGAGCTCCATCATGTCGAGGCACACGCACCTCAAGCGCGCATTGCCCACGTGCTGCACGGCGGAGCAGACGAAGCCGCACACGATGCCCAGCGCACCCTGCACCTCGGCGCCGCCGCGGCCAGCATACACCGGCGAAGATACATTAGGAACTCGACCACAGTAAACCCTCCACAAGAAACCCAGCCCTGAAACCCCAGGACGTCCGTTGATTGCTGGTGTGGGAACGTCACGCTTCCCATGGCGAAAACCATCGAAACCCAAGAAACCCTGGGCACCCTGGAGGCCAGGAGGGTGTTTCTTGGCGTGGGCCTCCTCTGTACGCCCCTGGACCCTCCTCCGCTACCAGGGAGCCCGGCCCTGGCAGTGGCTCCCGGGGTGAAGAGCCTCGAGCCGACGGATCGGCGACAGGCTCCCGACAGCGAATCGGCACGCTGCTGGGGCGGGGTGGGCCATCCGGCCCGAAGCGGCAATCCATGGGGCGCTCGGGGATCGACGCACTCCTTCCTGCACCCCTCCCCTCCTAGCGGGTGCCCCCCGGCCTTCGGGCCATACCCCCGCTGCCCGGCTGCCGCTCGGGGCGGTCTGGGCACCCCCAGAACACTCTCGGCGAGGCGCCGCCGCTGGGGGGCACCCCAAGGCTGCAAGACCGCCGAGAACCGACGAAAGCGCCCGCAACCCTCGAACCTCGAGCCTACTTGGATCACCGGACTGCTAAGAGGGTAGGTGGGTACAAGTGGGTTCTGAGGTGGGTGATGTCTGGCTGACCCTGGCTCAGAAGTGGGCTACAAGTGCCCACACCGGCTCAGGGTTGTTGCCTAATTCCGCTGAGTGGGCTCTGTCCACTTAGCCTTCACCCCCTGAGTCACCTGGGGAACGTGTACCCCACTCATACCCCAGACTGGGCCGGATACAGCCCACCTCAACATCCACATGGTGCCGCCCCCCCAATCCCCTTGGCAACCCCCCGCGGTGAGCCACGCACTCCCCCCCCCTCAAGCCGCCCCCGAGACGCCGCCGCCGCTGCCCCCCAGGCCTCCCAGGGGGGCGTCGTCGTCGTCGTCGTCGTCCTCGTCGTCGTCCTCGTCGTCGTCCTCGTCGTCTCGTCGTCGTCGTCGTCCTCGTCGTCGTCCTCGTCGTCGTCCTCGTCGTCGTCCTCGTCGTCGTCCTCGTCGTCGTCCTCGTCGTCGTCTCGTCTTCGTCGTCGTCCTCGTCGTCCTCGTCGTCCTCGTCGCGCCTCGTCGTCCTCGTCGTCTCGTCGTCCTCGTCCTCGTCGTCCTCGTCGTCCCTCCTCTCCTCCTCCTCCCCTCCTCCTCCTCCTCCTCCTCCTCCTCCTCCCTCCCTCCCCTCCCTCCTCCCTCCCTCCTCCCTCCCTCCCTCCCCCTCCCTCCCTCCTCCCTCCCTCCCTCCCTCCCTCCCTCCCTCCTCCCCCTCCCTCCTCCTCCCTCCTCCTCCTCCTCCTCCCCCTTCTCCCTCCTCCTCCTCCTCCTCCTCCTCTCCTCCTCCCTCCTCCTCCCTCAGCCTCCTCCTCCTCCTCCTCCTCCTCCTCTCCCCTCCTCCTCCTCCTCCTCCTCCTCCTCCCTCCTCCCTCCTCCTCCTCCTCCTCCTCCTCCTCCTCCTCCTCTTCTCTCCTCCTCCTCCCTCCTCCTCCTCCTCCTCCTCCTCCTCCTCCTCCTCCTCCTCCTCCTCCTCCTCCTCCTCCTCCTCCTCCTCCTCCTCCTCCTCCTCCTCCTCCTCCTCCTCCTCCTCCTCCTCCTCCTCGCCACCGCCGCCGCCGCCGCCGATCCCCCGCCTCGTCCTCCTCGGCCTCCCAAGGGGCCGCGGCGCCACTCCCGCTGCTGGCTCGGCCCGCGGCGGGCCGCTCCCGCGCCCCGGGGCCTGGCGGCCCGGGCGCGGCGCCGAGGCCGCCGGCGCAGAGGTCTGCCAGGAAGGACTCGTAGATGGCGCCAGCCTCTCGGAGAAGCCCCGAGACCCGAGGACTTCAATTCCCCGCTGAACGGTTTCCCCCAGGGCCGTAGGCGACCCGAGGATGAGGAGGAGGAGGAGGAGAAGGAGGAGGAGGAGAAGGAGCAGGAGGAGGAAGTGGAGGAGGGGGAGGGGGAAGGGAGATGGAGGAGGAGGTGGAGGAGTAGGAGGAGGACGGGTCGCCTAAGCCCTTCGGAGAAACCCTCCGTTCCCCCCCACATCCACTGACAGAGCACCCCCAACACCCACAGTACCCGTCATCCAAGACGTCGGCTCCACCCGTTCGCTCGGCCTGGGTCCTCGCTCGGTCCGCCAAAGCCCGACGGCCTCCTCGCGAGAGCTGAGGCCCAACGGGGGGAGGACGAGGAGGAGGAGGAGGAGGAGGAGGAGGAGGAGGAGGAGGAGGAGGAGCAGCAAAGCCAGGAGACCCATTTTTCAATCGGGCGGTTTATCCTGGATTTCGATCTCTCCAGGGCCCGTTATCGGGCCCGGGGGGACCATCAGCAGCGAATCAGGGACGAGAAACCACCCCCAGAGAAGGGGTTGGGGCCTCTGGGGCCGCGGATGGAAAAAGTCATATCGGCGGATGTCTACGCGAGAGCGCCCCGAGAGGCGATCTTGATGGCCACTAGATGCCTCCAAGACGGCACGAGAGAGGAAGCATGTGAGGAGCGCGGCGAAACTGGGGGTGGCATTCCATACATCGGTTCCCGATGCGAGAATAGGTAGACTTCCTTGCGGGGCCAAGAAGAATCTGAGGGGCGTGGCGAGTTGGGGGCTAAAATTCCATACGTCGGTGCCCCATGCGAGCGTAGGTGGACTTCCTTGCGGGGCCTAGAAGCGTGTGAGGAACGTGGCGAAACCGGGGGTTGCTCTTCCATACGTCGGTGCCCCATGCGAGCGTAGGTGGACTTCCTTGCGGGGCCAAGAAGCGTGTGAGGAGCGTGGCGAAACCGGGGGCTGCTCTTCCATACGCCGGTGCCCCATGCGAGCGTAGGTGGACTTCCTTGTGGGGCCAAGAAGCGTGTGAGGAGCGTGGCGAAACCGGGGGTTGCTCTTCCATACGTCGGTGCCCCATGCGAGCGTAAGTCGCCTTCCTTGTGGGGCCAAGAAGCGTGTGAGGAGCGTGGCGAGCTTGGGGCTGATATTCCATACGTCGGTGCCCGATGCGAGTGGAAGTGGAGGATGAGGAGCAGGAGAAGGAAGGAGGAGGAGGAGGAGGGGGAGGAGGAGGAGGAGAAGGAGGAGGAGGAGGAGGAGGAGGAGGAGGGAGGAGGAGGAGGGGAGGGAGGGGGAGGGGGAGGAGGAGGAGGAGGAGGAGGAGGAGGAGGAGGAGGAGGAGGAGGAGGAGGAGGAGGGGCGTGGCGAGATGGGGGCTGCTCTTCCATACGTCCATGCCCGATGCGAGCGTAGGTTTGGGCGCCCTGTCGGGCCAAGAAGCGTTTGAGGAGTCGCGGAAGGGCTCCCCAAGGAAGCCACGTGAAGGGGCGCGTGCCAGCTACCTTGCAAGGGGGCAGCAGGCCGATAACAGTGAGAGGAATAGAGAGAGAGAGAGGGAGAGGGAGAGGGAGAGGGAGAGGGAGAGGGAGAGGGAGAGGGAGAGGGAGAGGAGAGGAGAGGAGGAGGAGAGGAGAGGAGGAGGAACAGGAAGAGGAAGAGGAAGAGGAAGAGGAAGAGGAGAGAAGAGGAGAGAAGAGGGAAGGAAGAGGAAAGGAAAAGGAGAGGAAGAGGAGAGGGAAGAGGAGAGGAAGAGGAGAGGAAGAGGGAAGGCAGAGGAGAGAAAGCGGAGCGGAAGAGGAGAGGAAGAGGAGAGGAGGAGGACGAGGAGGAGGAGGAGGAGGAGGAGGAGGAGAAGAGGAGAGGAAGAGGAAGAGGAAGAGAAGGAGGGGGAGAGGAAGGGGGAGGAGGAGGCGGAGGAGGAGGAGGAGGAGGAGGAGGAGGCAGGAGGAGAAGAGGAGGAGGAGGGAGGACGAGGAGGAGGACGAGGAGGAGGAGGAGAAGAGGAATAGGGAGGAGGAGGAGGAGGAGGAGGAGGAGGAGGAGGAGGAGGAGGAGGGGGAGGAGGAGGAGGAGGAGGGGGAGGAGAAGGAGGAGGAGGAGGAGGAGGAAAGCAGGAGAGGAGGAGGAGGAGGAGGAGGGACGAGGCGAGGAGAGGAGGAGGAGGAGGAGGAGGAGGAGGAGGAGGGAGGAGGAGGAGAGGAGGAGGAGGGAGAGGAGGAGGAGGACAGAGGCAGGAGGAGGAGGAGGAGGAGGAAGGCAGGAGGAGGAGGAGGAGGAGAAGGAGGAGGAGGAGAAGGAGCAGGAGGAGGAGGAGGAACGAGGGAGGAGAAGGAGGAGGAGGAGGAGGAGGAGGAGGAGGGAGGAGGCAGGAGGCAGGAGGCAGGAGGCAGGAGGCAGGAGGAGGAGGAGGAGGAGGAGGAGGAGGAGGAGGAGGAGGAGGAGGAGGAGGAGCACGGCGACGGCGGCGACGCCCCTGGAAACCCGTTTTGGCCAGAGTTCGGTCGGGGCGTAGCTGGTGCCAGCCTTCTCCTCCCCGTCGTCCACGACCCCCGCCGAGGTGCACCGCTGGCAGCCCTCCTCCCACTGGGCGAAGAGCTCGTTCACGAAGCGCTCGCACCGTGCCTCATTCAGGAGCGGGTGAGCCAACGCTGGCGCGAGAGCCTGCGTCTCCACGTGCTGCTGGGCGTCCGCAATGCCGCTGCCGCCCGAAGCCACGCGCTGGCCCCCTGGCGCTGCCGGTACGACAACATCTGCATGTGGCTCCTGGCCCCACTGCGAGGCGGCTTGGACGGCAGAGTTCACCATTCCGTGCAGACTCGCATCATCAATGAACCTGACCACCCGCTGGACTCTCTGCTGCCAGGCCTCCCACACCGCGGCGACGTCTGCGCCGCTGGCGGACGGACTACAAGGGCACTCCACGCCTACAGCACGGGAGAGCCTTGCCGGCCCGACGACGGACCACAGGATGCCGGCAAAGTTCACTCTGAGCAGGGCCACGCGCATGTCGGGCTGCTGGTAGATCGGGTGCAGGAACAGCACCGAGAGGGGCAGCAGGCAGTTGCAGAAGCATGCGGGAGCTGCCTGCTCGCAAAAGCGGCGGAGGTACTCGATGGAGGTGTGGCGCTGCGCGGGGTCACGGGCCAGCATGGACCCGAGGATCTCCTGCACGGCGCCGCTCCTCACCTGCGAGATCTTGGCCTGCAGGTCAAGCTGCCGGGACCTGTACTGCAGCAGCTCAGGCAGGTCCATGAGCGTCTGGCCGTCCAGGTACAGCTCCGCCAAGACGCATCCCAGCGAGAAGACGTCCATCGCCGCCAGCTTCGAAGAGAAGCGGGAGAGGCTCGGTGTCGGCCGACCTGGGTCGGGAGAGTCGAAGCGCTCTGGTGCTAGGTAGCAGCGCCGGCGGTTCAGATTCGACTCAAAGAAGAAAGAGAACTCCGAAGGGTCATCCTCTGGGAGCAGCAGCGGCTTGAACATGGCGAAGTCTGTCAGGGTGGCGTGGTTCCAGGAGGAGACGAAGACGTTCTCGGTCTTTAGGTCTCCGTGGGCAGCGCCAGCGGAGTGGGCCTGGCAGACGCTGCAGAGCACCTGGAAGGCAAGCCAGCACTTCAGTGTCTCCGACAGGAAGGGTCTCGTGTGGATCCGCTCGTAAAGGTTGCGCGCGAAGTGCTGCCGCAGCAAAATTGCCGACTGCCCGGCGATCTCGCACGCCTGGTAAGGCACCACGTTTGGGTACAACCACTGGCTCCTGTCGGCGGCGTGCGAGGGGGGGAGGCGAGAAGGGGCGGGCCTTCTCAGAAGATCGGGAAGCTAGAAAACTTCTCGGAAGGCAGGAGGGCTTCTGAGAAGTCCCGCCGCCTTCTGAAAAGGCTTCCTCCTCCTCACCTCCCCCCCTCGCTCGCCGCCGATCCTGAAGGCATCCTTCACCTGCAAAATCCTGGCCTTCACCACCTCCAGGTCGGGCTGGCCGTCCCTGAGGATGAAGAGCTTGACCAGCACGAGGCCCTCCCGCTCGTGGACGCACCGCGTGACCTTGAACAGCTTGTAGCTGCCGAGGACATCCTGGTACGCGAGGTCGTTGTACTCGCTGAGCAGCGACCTCTGAGCAGGGACCGACCATCTGGCATTCCTATAGGCCTGCCACGACATGTTCTTAGAACCCAAAACGGCTCTAGAACCAACCAGCGCTCTTAGGACCTGAACCCGGTGTGTTAAGACAAGACAACCTCGGCCAGAGCCGTTTAAGAAGGTGCCGCGCAGACCACCAAAGGTTCTTGGAGCATTCTTCGGCGGGCCCCCAGGCAAGCGGGGACGCTGCGCCACTGCCTGAGACCTCGGCTCGTCGACCCGCGGCACCTGCGCGTTGCCCATCGCCCAGCCGCACTCGGGGCGCCGCCGCTGCCGCGCCGAAGGGGGGCGGCTCGCGCGCCGACGGGTGCGGGGGCCCACGCCGGCTGCTTCTGTGCCGGTGTGCGGCGGGCGGCGAGGCGGGCGTCGCTTCGGGGCCCCAAACGGTGCGGTGATGGGCCGCGTAGTCAACGGTATCTGATTCGGCCTTTCGACACTGGGCGGAAGGCAGAGGGAGGGGGGGGGGCCTGGCTCTGGACCTCTGCTCAATGCGACTGTTCGCAACAGTGCGCCCTATGGGTGGAGACCCCACCTGCTTGAAACAGGCGCCGAAAACAGCCAAGATCTGCTCCCATGGGTGGGCGGGGCGGGGAGGTTGCGGGGGCCCGCGTCGATCGGCAGAGCAACGAACAGGCCAAAGATCGCGCAGCGACCTCGGCATCCCCAAAACGGCCTCACCGCGCGGCCCGTCGTCGCAGAGGCCCTGCCCTGCCCTGCTCGGGCCTCGGAGGCGCCCCCGTCGCCCCCGAGGCGCCCTCGGAGGACGGCCCGAGTCCGGAGGCAGCGCGGTGACCCCGAAGCCCCACCGACTCACCACGCGGTGCGGGCACCACGCCGCCGTGGGGGGCCCCGAAGTCCCCCTCAGGGCGGCGCCCCGGGCGCACCGCCGCTGCGCTGCGGTGGGGGAGGCGCTCGGCGGGAGCCCTCCTGCGCTTGGGCCGGGATCGCTGCGGAGGGGGGATGGGGCGGGAAGGGGGAGGGGGAGGGACCCCCTCCTCCACCCCTGGCCCTCTGCTCTTCGTTTTTTTGTCTTCTCCAAGCTGCGCATGAGACGATGGGATCAGATGGGTGGCTCCAGGTTCGCTGCGGCACCCGTCGGCGGATCGACCTGAAAAGGCCACGGGAAATTATGGGTGCGAGGGGAATGCACCTAGATTGTCCTCCCCCTGCCTCCTCCATCCTACCCCATCCTCATCCTGGCCCGCTTTAGCGGGGCGAGCGGACAGGGGGGCGGCTTACATGCACGCGCAGCCAGGGCGATGAGTTCAGAGTGTAAACAAAAGAGCCCGAGAAACATGGGCAACCTGTCTGGCCAGCATATCAAGCAAACGCTAAGCCAGCGTTTCATGTGGCAGGCTGGTGAAACGTTGCCCCGAAGCGATGGCGGGAGATCCGTTCCTGAGCGCCGCACCTGCAAACTCCGAGTCGGGAGGTATGATAACCTGCTACTCCTGGAATGCATGGTGGTGCTCCGCACAACAGAACCACTGCACCTCCTCCTCATCCTCCCCCCCCTCATCCTGTTCATCATCCTCTTCATCAGTCTGTTCCACGTCGGTCTCTCGCCCTCCTCCTCCTCCTACCTCCTAATACCTCCTCCTCCTCTCTCCACCTCCTCATCCTCCTCCTCTCTCCTCCTCCGCCTCCTCCTCCTCCTCCTCTCCTCCTCCTCTCCTCCTCCTCCTCCTATCCTCCTCCTCCTCCTAGCCTCATCCTCTCCTCCTTCCCCCCCCCGTCCTCCCTCCTTCTCCTACTCCTCCCTCTCCTCTCCTCCTTCAGCCCTCCTCCTCCTCCTCATCCTCCTCCTCCTCCTCCTCCTCCTCATCATGATCCTATCTCCTGCTCCTCTGCTCCTCCTCCTCCCTCCCCCCGGCTCCTCCTCCTCCTTCCTCCTGCCTCCTCCTCCTCCGCTCCTCCTCCTCCTCCTACTCGCCTCCTCCTCCTCTCCTCCTCCTCCTCCTTCCTTCATCTCCTCCTCCTCCTCCTCCTCTCTCTCTCCTGATCCTCTCCTCCTCCTCCTCTCCTCCTCCTCCTACTCTCTCCTCCTTTCCTCCTCCTCCCTCTCCCTGGTCCTGCTCCTGTCCTGCTCCTCTCCCCACCTCCTCCTCCTCCTTCTCCCCCTTTCTCTTAATCCTCAGCCGTCTGATCCTCATCCTACTCTCCTCGTCCTCCTGCTCCTCCTGCTCCTTCCTCTCCTCCTCCTCCTCCTCCTCCTCCCCCTCCTCCTCCTTCCTCTCATCCTGTTCCTCCTCCTGTCATGCTCCTCCTCCTCCTCCTCCTTCTCCTCCTCCTCCTCCTCCTCCTTCTCCTGATGTTCCTCCTCTTCCTCCTCGTCCTCCTCCTCCTCCTCCTCATCCACCGCCTCCTCCTCCTCCTTGGCATCAGCATCATCATCCGCCTCATCATAAGCAGCATCATCATCAACATCACCATCACCATCATCATCGTCATAATCATGGTCATCATCATAACCACCACAAGCAGCACCATCATCACCACCACCACCACCACCATCATCATCATCATCATCAGCAGCAGCATCATCATCACCAGCCGCACTACCATCGTCGGCAAAAAAACACCATCACCATCATCACCACCATCATCACCACCACCATCGACATCATAAGCATCGTCATACTCATCATCAGTAACATCACCAGCAGCAGCAACATCAGCAACATCAGCATCATAATCACCATGGCCACGAACAGAAGCATCACCATCAGCAGCAGCAGCATCAACATCACCGTCATCATCGCCATCATGAGTATCCTCACCATCACCAACACCATTCGCATCATCATCGGCCGTATCGGGTCGGAAACATCCACATCATCATCCTCATCCCCATCACCACAAGCATCCTCAACGGCACCAGGACCAGCACCCTCATCACCAGCATCATCGTCATACTCACAATCCGCATCGTAATCATCATCAGCATCATCAGCCGCATCATCGTAATGATCGTCATGATCATCATCACCACCATCAGCATCAGTATGTCCATCTGCATCCCCCTATACATCCGCATCGGCATCATCATCATCAGCATCATCATCATCATCATCATCATCATCGTCGCCGTCATCGTCGTCATCGCCGTTGGCATCGTCATCATCGTCGTCATTCTCAGAATCGTCATCACCATCATCGCCATCAGCATCACCGTCACAATCATCAGCAACATCATCGTCATCAACATCGCCCGTATCGTTACTCAGCATTGGCTCCATGGTCAACACTGCCATCAGCATCACAACCATGGTAATGGTTCATCGCCATCATCGTCAGCATCGCCTTCATCATCATCGTCACCACGCAAAACTTCATCAATGTCATAGTCCATCATAAACAACAGCATCGAAAGCACCACCATCAATCAGCACCAACACCACTTGCACCACCGCCACCAATACCTCCACAATCACCGCCATCATCACCATCATCAGCAGCAGCATCATCACCACCGTCAGCATCAGCACGATCGTCATCGTCGTCATCATCATCGTGGCCACCATATCCACAGTCACCACCAGCTTCAGCATCCACAGCAGCGACAATGATAATCACAAACATCATCATGGTCATCATCATCCCCTTCCTCCTCCTCGCCCTCCTCCCCATCATCATCTCGTCCTTATGATCCCCATCTCCAGTCTCATCTCCATCCTCATCCTGAACAGCAGCAGCATCAGTGTCCTTCTCGTCATGACCATCGTCATAGCTGACGACGACAACGACAACGACGACGGCGGCGGCGGCGGCGACGGCGACGACGCCACGCCCCAAGACACGAGCGAAAGCGAGGTCGCGCGGAGAGGGTGCGAGAGCGCAAAAGCGCATTCAGGGCGTCCAACAATAAAATCGTTCAGCAATTTAGATCCAACGGGGACTACGGAAGCCTCAGGGCCTTCTGGGAGTTTTGAATAAAAACGGAGAAAGCATCGAGCGGGAACGTCGTTGTTTACAGGGGGTCTTGAGTCGGGAGCGCCGGTCCTGAGGTGAAAAGCTGAAAATATCGAGCGGGAGCTCCAATTTTGTTGGAAAGACGGCCTCGGGGGGGCGAGCTAAGAGCCCCGGCCCAGAGTGAGAAAGGAGGAAGTATCGAGCCGCAGCGTTGCTGCTGTTGCTGCTGCTGCTATTGTTGTTGTGGTTGTTGTTGTGGTTGTTGTTGTTGTGGTTGTTGTTATTGTTGTTGTTGGTGGTGTTTTTGTTGGTGTTGCTGTTGCTGTTGTTGTTGTTGTTTGGGGGTGTTGGTTTTGGCGGAACCCCGGGTCGCCTGAGCGCGAGCCTAATTTTCAAAGGAAATGTAGCCGGCGCCCAGGCGAGAGCGCGAAAGCGCATTCAGGGTACACCAATTACAACAGAAACAACAGCAGCAGCAACAACAATAACAATCACAACGACAATAACAACAACAACAACAACAACAACAACAACAACAACAACAACAACAACAACGACGACCCCGACGACCACAACGACGACGACGACGATCATGTTAAGACTGTTCGCTCTTACCTGCCCGCGTGACATTCAACACGTATATCCCAAACCCTCGATACCCGCCCTCTTCGTCTTCGATCGTACCGTACCCCCTGGGGGGCATATCTTCCTTATCTGCAACGTGTATTGCGCAGCCCCGAAGGCACGGGGAGAGAGGACGGACAGAACGAAGGGATTAGGGGCAGGCGGGTTGCTGAAGCGTGCGTCCTGCATGAATCGCGATGAGGAAATCCACAGCGAGAGCGTGACTCCTGAATGTCGAGGGTGCGGCGTCTGAATCAATTGCGATGAAATCCCACGCGAGGGCGCGAGTCCTATACTAACTGAATGGAATTCACGCGCGAGAGCGCGATTTGGGAATCAATCGTGAAGACGCATCAGGCGGGAACCGCTGTTGTTGTAAACCCGGGGCCAGGGGGCCAGTTTGGTGGCACCTCATTCCCTTTTGTAAAAACCGGGTGCGAGCCCCAGGAGAAGCACTTTTATTGAAAAATATAATGGCTACAACGGGTCAAAAACACGCATTCCTTAGACATGAAAGCCCAATAGTAACAACAACAAACACAACAACCACAACAAAAATCACAACAACAACAACAACAACAACAACAACAGCAACAACAACAACAACAACAAGAACAACAACAACAACAACAACAACAACAACAACAACAAACATATCAACAACAACAACAACAACAACAACAACAACAACAACAACAACAACAACA